GTGTCTAAGATGGCATAGTGGGAGAGGCCAGTGCAACGTTTGCTGTAAGCGCTTGTAAGCTTTGTGAAGCCTAATATGAAAAAGGACACGCAGGATCAATGTCAGAACACAAATGTGGCACCAGATCGAACTTTTTCCATGGCTGGCAATTCGAAATCGACACTTCAAATGCTATTCCCCCCAAAAGCTATGCCCTGGCTGTACAGTGTAAATACATTATACTATTTTTTACATTTTTTACTGTATATAACATTGTATAATTAGCACGTTTAACGTTTCGTTGGCAATCTCTAGACACTTGGCTTTGCACACCTGGTCAGTCATTGGCAGGAAGAGAAATACCGCAAAATTCGGGAAGTCAAGGCGGGCTCGGTCTTGTTTGGCCATGCCGGGCAGACGAGGGTCTTATCTAGACAATCTGGTACCAAGTCTCACATTTTGGTTCAGCCGTTTTACCCGCATAGAGGTTCGGTGGCACCACGGTCTACCAGCAACGTGCTGGGGCGGGTGCCATATTGGGGTACACCCACCCCAAAAGCCTCCCTGCAGGAGTCTACGTTGATTCGGATCACAGACAGAGTGTTTTTTTCTTGCAGGAGACGTACCCGATTGACCAGCTCTGCCGGGACCGCAGTACTCAGTGAGTGTATGTCTTAACTGCGTTTCCATGAGATTTGTGAGACTGGACTTGGGCTGTGCTTTATGGCAGAAGCGCCTGGCAGATGGGTGGCGAATTCTTTTGGATCCAGCCCTCGAATCATAAAGAGCGAATGCAGAACATTGTACAGTACGTAGGGGGGAAAGACACAGTCACTGGTCACGGATGCCATAGATGCGCAAGCACAATTGAACGTATATAGATGTTGTGGCCGCCACCTTGGCCCTTTGGTAGCTTTAAAGTACGAAGCATGAGTACATCCTGTCCCTCTTGCCACTAAAGTAGAAGCTTAAACAATTAATGTTGCCTTTGCACACTGTAGTGCCAGGAGCCAAAGAACTTGTGACTTGTCCGACTTGTCCGTAAGGAATAGGTCCCCATCGACTTCACAAAACTCCCTAAAGAGTCCTAGATACCTTTTTTCTATTTTCGCTTCTTTTCGCAGTCTAGATGCCAGCTGTCGAGGTGAGGGTCATCCCTGGCAGTTCGCGAAGTTCCTAAAGGACGCCCGCGCACTGCCGCCGGGACCCTCGGTCGATTTGAAAGATGCATTTTTCTGACACGGGTCGTGTAGCGTAGAGGTGATTGATTGGAGCATTGAGGGGCATAGGAAAAGATTGCGGGAGGATGAGGGAGGAGGTCCATTTGGTTCGATGCATTTTCGACATCAACGCTCAATTTCAAATTTGTTCGGCATTAGACCAACTACTACATACCCTTTTGGCTATTTTTGGCTTGGACTCCCGATGTTCACTGGACATGCTGAAATGTCACCAACGATCCAAGAAGGAACGCTCACATTCACCCAAGTTCTCTTGAACAAGTTCAAGCGTGCCTTGAATACATTGAAAGAACTGCGGAACTCGCAGAAGGAGCAAAACCCCGACCGACCGACCGACCGACCGACCGTGAATGAACATGAAAGAATGCCCAACTGGAAACCCAAGCTCTATGCTCGGCCAGCATCGTGCTCCATCTTGCTTCTTGGCACTTCTTCCCCAGTGGACCCCTTTTTCCCACACGGTTTGAACGCGACGGCCGCGGCAGGTACACAGCCCGGCCCGACTACGTCGGGATGAGGCATGGGATCAAATCGCGGCACCCAAAAAGACGGCGTTGGGTGTCGAGAATCAAGGACTAGAGTTAGAAGTAGCTTCTTGCTCGTAGTAGTAAGGATGTTCCTAGTAGTACGGCCAGGAGCCCCTAGTAGCTTCTTGTTACTAGTAGTAGGGATGAAGAATCAAGGCCTAGAGTTAGAAGCTAGAAGATTCAGAAGGCTTGCTGGTGAAAGATAGGGCCAGAACATGGTGTATGCATTGTGTTCGGACAGGACCTCAAAGTAGTGCCTGTTTCAACAAGCTCTGGTGACCTGGTGTAGTTCAGTACGCCAGGTCGATCCATTTTTTGAAGTCGTTTCGTGCCCCAAAGTCAGCGTGCCAACATGCACACTTGTGCAGGAAGATGTTTGCCGATCTTCGTTCCGAGATCGGGCCGGAAGAAGACCATGATTTTGAGTTTTTGCGCGGAAGGGACACAGGCGGGCAGCTGGAGGAGTTGGGTCTTGGCTGGTGGATTTGGGCACGGGTACGGTGCAGTATGGTGCAGGTACGGCGCGGAGGTCTTTTGTCAGTCAGACCCTACACCAGCGCTGCCTTTTGATATTGAATTTAACATAATTTAACAGTATGTTGCTGCAAGTGTAGCTTGAAAGGCGCTCATCACCATGGGGGGATGGTCACACATAATTATGCATGCAACAGTGTTGGAACATGCACAGAAAAAGCTATCCCGCTGTCCAGCCTTCCCGAAAAAAACCTCATTGGTAGCCCGTGATTTGCAGCGATTTCAGATTTCTTGGTGCCTTCAAGGTGGCCGGTCCATGAATTTCCATGACAGGTTGTCGAAACGGTCCCTTCTCTTCAGGCCCTTTGGAGCCGCTCCAAATCAATGCAACTCGGTGAAGGCTTGGGTGAAGGCCTGGGGCTTGATTCATTGAGGTGCTAGGCATTGTTGGCGTTTTTAGCAAGATTTTTACAAGTGTTTTATTGGTAGAGCATTTTGCCTTCAACACCCTAGAGGTTTGAGGCCATCAGCTTGCCTTTAGCGGACGCCTAGTTTGGAGACACCTGATGTTAGGGAGGTCGAAAGACTCAGAAGCACAAACTGAGTTTGATGAAAAGCAAGATTTCTCAGCACGAGCCATTGAATCCAGCCATGGCGGTCGGTACACACTTTCTCCCTTTCCTGGTGACATATCTATTCCCTTTTTGCTTGCGAGATTTAATACGGACCGGGTGCCCAGGCCTACGGCTGCTCGTTTAGTTTTGAACAAGTGTTGCAGAGCGGAAAAAAAGGGAATGTATGCTTGGTATTGAGCTGGAACATCGCAACTCCCTCCCAAAGATGGAGATTGAACCACTGCAATCAGAGGTTGTGCTGGGTGCCGGTTATGTCTTAACTAGGCAATGGGTACCTCATGGTACGCCTCCCATGTCGGGGATCCAAGGATGACCTTGAGCAGCCTGATGATAAGGTGCACCGGTGGAGAACCCCTGCATCTTGTGTGCTGGGTGTTTGATGGTGCTTGTTGACATTGAGGTCAGCATGGCTTACACGCATACTCGTTCATTGCCCCCTTGATGGTTTTAACAACCAGACCAGTGATCCATTCAATATGTTGAGAAGCGTATCGATATTCTACAGTAGTGCTTCTGCAAGTTTGGTGTCGTGGCTGCTGGAACCCAGGTTGGTCTTGGATGGCATTGGTCGCATGTGTTTGCGTGTTTATAAATGTGTGCGTGTGTGTTTGTTTTCGGCGAACCCACTTCCCAATTCTTGCTGGACGACAAACTAAAACTATACATGCAGTACATCATGATTAATAATACATAGTAGGTTATAGTATTATATAGTCTTAGAGCCTATAGTTACACACACACATATATATAGTATACAAATGTGTGTGCTCCAGCAGCAGGAATAGGTTTGAGTCATGTCATGAGACCTCTTGCAAGTGTGAAGATTTGCGAAAGGTTTTTCGCTTTCGAGATCAGTTCCCTTGTGACTTCGCACCTGCCGGGATGGCAGGTAGTGGGAAAGAAAAGCAGTTCCTGCTGCACTATCTCCTGATGCTCATTTTCGGCTGGAGCGGCCTTAAGCGTCGCAACATGCACCATGGACACATGTGGAAGAGTACGAAAGTGGCGGCTCAAAAGTGTGTGGCAAACGGATCTAGCAGCAACGAGAACATTCGGGATCACTTGGGGGGGTTTTTGCATTGGGACCGCCCGGCTTCGACAAAACAATCCCTGGCAATATTTGATGGCGAAAATGTCCAACTAACCCAGTGTCTCACCATTTTGAGATGCACTCGCACGGATGTTTACCGGCCACACTTGGACCTGCGTAGTGTCGAAAGAGCTGCGAACTGGCGAACTGTCCTCGTTTTCGCACCCATTCCCTGTCTACAGCTTGCGGTAACCAAGCCTGCTTGCAAGCATGCAAGGTATCAGAATGATTTGCACAATGTATTGCAGAAACAAAGCCTTAGTACAACGTAGAATGCCTTCCCATCGTCTCCATGGGCATGGCTAGCTCACATTCATTATGCCCCCATGGGGCTCGTCGTTTCACTTTCACGCCAGGTGGGTGTCATGACTGCAGGGTCCAGTCATGCCACAGGCTGTTCCCAGTCTAGTCGCACACACATTTAATATAAACCTGGTCCTTTTGATTCCTTCTGAGGGGATTTGAGGCTGAGCCGCTTATAGAAGTTTTGGTAAGAATCTGTCGCTTCAGAAGCACTAGCCTTGTGGAAAGGCGATAGGTGAGGTCACGTTCCCCAAGAAACACTACCTAAATGATGTGGTATTTGTGTTTTAATCTGTTGGACATACTTCCTATAGATGTCTATTGAGTTGGAGACCACTTTTGAATTCCCCCATCACCCGCAGCCCGCATGACACCTGGCCGCACCACAGTCGGAGATCGTCAAAGCGAGTTCGCGAGACCGGGAGCCGCGAATCGAACAAAAGGCTGACGGACCGGATTGATTTGAATTCCCTGTTGTGGTTTTGCACGCAAGTGATCCATAGTGATCGGTAGATAAGGAAGCAGATGGAAAACAACATCGTACAGATTGTGGACCTCTTCATCGCACAGACTTTTCAACTTTCTGGCATGCGAGATCCGGTTTTAAGGAGAGCGATCCGGTTCGAAAGAGGGAGCTTCATGGACCCCTAGTGGGGTGAACAAGTGTCTGAAGTGAGGCGTGATCATAAATCCACACCATGATGGAGGTAAAGCCACCCGTTCGCGCCGTCGGCGTGCGCGCCGCTGCAAGGTGCTGCAGCTGTCCCGCAGCAGCGGTGCCGCCCAGGTGCGCGGGGCTTTCCGTCTGCAGGCGCTGATGACGCACCCGGACCGGGGCGGACGCCGCTTGGAGGAAAGGGTGGAGCATGGTGGAGGACGCTCAACGGGAGGTTTGAGTGTACTGGAAGTTTTTTTTAATGTTTTTTTGGACGTTGGAGTCAGAAGGATGATGGAGAATGACTCTTTGATTGGGGACTGCTGAACATGCAGCATCATTTCCCATGAAATGTGATGAAGGGTGGAAGTCTAGAAAATGGGTCCTTGTGATTCATGACTGGCATTGCCGATTCCTGCCAGATGGACAAAGCGTAGGAAAGTCGACATGGGACGCCTGCGTTCATCTCCATCAAGTTCAAGGATGTATCATTATAATATTGTATAATTACCGCTGAGTTGAGGGACATGTCCTCACAAATTACAGGAAAAATCCTTGAGCTCACTGAATCACTCAAGGTTTCTCCCAGAAGAAAGAGGAGGCCCCCCCTAAGTGAGGAGCTTTCAGGAGCCTCCCATCTGGCATGGACTGATCATTGTTCCAAGGAACCGAGGACTTCCATGCCTCTTGGCGACGATTGGCGAAAAAGCTGCAGCTGAGGATGGCAGGCCTACACGCCTACATCAGCAGCATGTATAGGGATTCATACGTGCAGGCAAGTCGCTTTCATTCCACTCCGCCCCGCCCCATGTTACAGGATCACGCAAGGTACCGGAGGCCACGACGCAGATCATGCTGTGCAATTTTTTGGTTGAAGCACCCCGTGAGCGAAGGTGCGCTGTTGCTTTGTGAGGGCTGCTAGAAACCTTCATTGAGGAGGCACCGCACGACGCACAACGCTCACTCACATTCAACTACCCCAACTGATGGTCTCACTACGGAGTGAATACACCAAAACGCATCCCACCGTCCTAGTGAGACCTGGCTTAGACCTGGAGCCTGGAACGAGCGTTTTTTTACCGTGAGAAATGAGAAAAGAGAAAAGGTGCGAAATGGAACACTCGGGGTTTGATTTTGAGAGTCTGCAGTTGGCTTTCAGTACGTAGGATCCTTTGACCAATCACTGCAGCGAACCCGCCCACCGGCCGCCCAGCCCTGCCTCCAAAACGTCGCCAAGGCAGTGGCCGCTGCCTTCGATGTCTTGTCAGACTCGGGGAAGCGAGCAGCTTACGACCAGGAGCTCGAGGAGACTGAGGGTCCTCCCAACTGCGTGCGTGGACTTGATGTGTCTCACTGGCGGTTCAAGTTTGACATGTTTTGTTGACTTGGTGAAGCACATCATGGTGGAACCACTTGTTTCTGAGACTTGGCTCGCTTGGTAAACGCTTCCGCACTGGCGTGTGGCATTGGCTCCAGCTGTTTGATCAAGACACCATTGGCGCCAGACGAGCCGTAGAAGCCATGGTGATGAAGCAGAAGGCATTGTCTTCAGTGACCCGGAAAAGAGTAGCCAACGAGTCAATGAGGTTACTTTTGAATACTTTTGATAGGTGTGCTTCCTCATTCTCTCAGATTCCTTCAAGATCTTCAAGGTGCTATATATGGGGATGGGCCTTCCTGGTTCTACTGATCATAGCGAATCCAAGGTGAAAAGAACGCAGAAGACCTTGAAGACGAACACCTCCAAGCGCGTGCAGCATGGCGGTCGACCAAAGCCCTCGAGTCGGCTTCGGGGTCTTCGAGCAGTCGTGATCAACTTGGAGAACCGTCCGGACCGTGACCTGCCTTTGAACGTATCCATGCGTATCCATGCGTATCGGCACCAATGTTTTGGCACCCTGTTGTAGGGGTGAAGAATCAAAAAATACACACAGGGTGATGAAGGTGCAGCAGCTGTGTATTTACTGTGTTTGATCCACCCTGCCCTGAAGCAGTCGCGTCATCGGATGGGTCAGCACTTCAGCAGGTGGACAATGGTGGACAGAAAAAGTTGATGGGTTCATCCAGTGGAATTGGCGATCGCATAGAATCGAAGGGTGACTGCCCAGTGATGTCATTCAAGGAACTCTTGGACCAGATTGGCAGTGATGGGTCTGTTATAGGCTGTTTGTGCATCCCCATAAAGAAAACCTCCATGAAATCCAAGGCCTTACGGCACCAAATCAGGGAGTCATTCAGAAGGGGGAACAGAACAGCTTTGGATCTGGCCGAGGATTGGAGGCGCTCCACCGGAGCCGCGCCAAGAACACTCCCTGGCTGAAGCTGCAGCGGCTGCCGGCGGTGGATGGACGCAAGACGCAGATCTCGGAGAAGGACGTGGTGAAGCTCTGGAGCACCAAGCGCTTGGCAGAGATGTTCCATTGGTAGCTTTGATGGCTGGGCAAATTTGGCATTTTTGGACCCAAGAAGTAGGAAGATGGAGTCTAGAGTCTAGATGGTTCATGATGAACCAAAATCATCGATGTGGTGGTTTTCTGGATGTTCTGAATCGACCGTCTTTACAGGTACAGGAGCAAGAAGATCAAGATGTCTCCAGGTGAGCGTGGCTGTTGTGCTTCACACCTCCAGGCATGGCGGCAGTGTGCCAAGAGCGGTAAGCCACTGCTGGTTTTGGAGGATGACGCTGTGATTTTGCCAAACTTCACTGCCACGCTGAATCAAGCACTGAAGGAGAAGATTCGGGGCCTTTGACATAGTTTTGAGCGAGGTTTCTTTTTGGGGAAGGGGTGGTGAAACGCCGGAAGTATTGCAACGTTCCCTGCAATTAGGCACAACATACATCGTCGTGTGAAGTAGGCGAATATAGATCAAACTCTGAAAAACCAAATCAGCTACTCCGCCCAAGAAGTGGCCAAGAAGTAGCATCAGAGAGTTTTAAAATAAGTGCTTAAATGCCCGAAAGCTCAAACCGGACTACCGGACGTTTGGTTCACTTTCAAGGTTTAACCCTTTGGAGGAACTGCCCAGGCAGGCTGGCGCTGTGTGGCTCACAAGCAAGGATCGGGGCACTCGCAAGCGGTTGGGGAAGGTGCTCATGCAGCCTCACTACCTGTGGACCACGGTGGGCTACATCATTTGGCCTTCCGCCGCGAAGTCATTGATCAAGCTTTTGCCCATGGATATGCCGGTGGACAATTTCATGGCCTGGCATGTGAAGGAAGATGAGGTGGAGATGTAATTATATAATTAAACAGATCTGCCGTGAAACACCCAGCCTTTGACTTGAGGTGAAGTCTCAATAGGTCGCAAATTCTTACCACTTCCATTTACCCTTCTGCACCACGGACATGGAAAATGAATGAAAATGGTCCGAGTGGAGAAGAACACCAGAAGGATACAGGAAGATCCATGTTCCAATTTTGCATCCAATGTCTTTGGACATCTTTGGGCCAAGCATTTGTCAAGGCCGAGTCTCTCGTGATTCATGCTATACACTATCAAGACATTTCATTGAGGTGGAATAAAATGGCCCCTTGGATGACATTGTTCCTTTGCTCATAGATGATTTTCCAGATTCCACTTCCAGGATGATTCAAGGGAGTATATACAACTATAAATATAAACATTTCAATGTGTGTGCACAGCGACCTGGGTCTCGTTTATCCACCTCACCCAGCCTCACACTCCTCACTTCCAGGTGAAGGCCTTCTCGGTGTCGCCGGCCGTGGTGCGACAAGCACAGACCTGGAACGTGGGCTCAGACGTGCCCCACTCGGATGACATAGCTCTTTGGGACGCCTAAGATAGGAGGTGCTTCACCTGAAGTAGTGAATGAGTTGGAAGAAATTGCCAGAATCTTAATCTTGGTTGCTTCATGATGCTTCTGATTTCTCTCATGGTCATGATTCTTGCAGATTTGATGGTGCAACGGAGCTTCCATCGCTTTGTTCGTTGACAACGGGCTACTTGTGGGCTCTCAAGAATGCTCCAGCTTCAGGAGAGTAGAAGAAGGTGGTGGAAGTTCATTGATTCTAGAGTGTCGATGTTTGATTCTGTTGGTCCTATGGGCGGGAATGCTTTGTTTTCAATCCATCACTAGCAGGAGGGAATCGAAGATTATCCTGCTTGCCCCACTCTCTATGCCGCTATGCTGACTCCCACGATATACTTCCCACATGTTCTCTTACAGTATCATGACGTACCATCCCTACTCTTGAACACTGCAGACAGCTTAGCGCAGTGCTTAGCGCAATTTCTTCAACAACCAGTGGAGGGACGAGTGAGTTGCCAAGCGCGCAGCTTGCCACACATTGGATCAAGACAATGTGCTCAGCCTTGGGGGTAGTGAAAAGTTGTCCGTCCACAGTGCTGGGAAGAGAAGGGGGTGTCACCGCCAGTGGTGACCGGACATGATTGGTCAAAGGCTGCGATCGGCTGACGGGGACATACGGAGGCTGCCTGGCTGCCTGCATGAACCATTTCCTTTGGAACAGTTTTCATCTCGGGAAGCTTTGAACAATAAGTTATCAAATGGGGGTGCCCACAGGAAGGGAATGACAAATGATTCCCCAGTTTGTGGCTTTTAGAATCTTTTTGAGGCCATTTGATCGTAGATTTTTGTATATTTAACTATATAACTTGTTGAACCAAACTACCACATCGCAAACAAAGGTGGAAGTGGAACCCCCACAAAGACTGGCTTCCCCTACAAGCTCGACATTTCGACTTTTATGATTGTTGGAGAGAGGGCATATAACACTGTACATACACATGTGTACATGCATACGTTGCATATGATTGTCACACACACACATATATATATCCCAAAATAGTCATAAGAATATATGTGTGTGTGGCTGGCGCATGACATTTCCTTGTCCGTGTTGATCTTACGAGATGTTGCTTCCCCGGCTGCCAGCAGAGTTGACCACTGCGAGCAGATGCACAACATCGTAGCTAGAGCACATCGTCGTGACCCAGTCCCAGCCCCATTGCCCCCTCGGTTTCTCCGGCACTCCCCGAAAAGGATACGGGCAACAGCGATGGACTTACGGAAGATGGACATGATTTTGCCATGGATGTGGAAGAGGACCGCCGAAACACCTGAAGTTCCGGCGGAGAAATACACCTGACGTTCTCATCTCAGACGAGCTGACGCCACCACACAGGCAGAACACATGGAGAAGAGCTCCGACATACTTGCACGATCTTGTACGGTATATTCTTGCACCCCAAAAAGCACTACCAAACAAGTGGTCACATGTGAGGACATTGCAAATATTATCTGGGTTTCGATCAAATCACGTCGAACTTCGAGCCTTCGTGGGCAGCTCGTCAATATTGGGTGGGCAAGAGCATGCTCCATGCCTACTTGCGAGTATAGTATAGTAGTACGGTTTGCCATGCCCATGGTTGTTGTTTGTTCTACAATCCTCCTACGCTCAGGTGCCCCAAGACAGAACATACGCCAGGAATCCCAGAATTCGTTGCAAGGTGTCCAAGGCATGGCTCCTGGAGGGGGCCAGGGTTGGTTCCTATCCTGACAGGATGAATCTGCCATGGATCTGGAGGTGAAGATCGAGACCTGGCGAGCCGCAGACCACAAACTCCAGACAGAGAGAGAGAGAGAGACTCTCCCAGAAGCAACAGTCATTGTATGAATCAATGTCCAAATTGATTCCAGAAGTAAGTTACTACAATTGATTATTTCGTTGGATGATTTCCCTTTTGATTTCCTTGGGCCAATCTTTTGATCTTCTTCCAGTCCTGTGCAATAGTGACTCAGGACTCCCCATTAGCCTTGCATGGCTCGCCGAGGCCATGCGCACTGTGCTGCACAAGCTTCTGAACTCCAACCTGAAGGCTTAGAGACGAATGGGTCAAAGGGGCACGCACTATTGTAGCACCAGGTGTCAGGTGCCGCGTGCGGAGAGTACTGTATCACTGTATATCGATGCTGTTTGGTTCGGTAAAGGTGCCTTGTTTAGCCTTGTTCTCCACGATGTAGGTCCCCGGTGCAGACACGGGGTCTACAAAGGTGAGCCCCCAATGGTGAAGATTTTTTTAAACAGAAGTGAAGGTAATCAGGTAGTCTTTGTTCACTTTGGAGGTGTGAAATAGGTTAAACCCACCGATGAGTAGGTCAAATCAAGTCCAAAGCACTTGTGGAGCCAAGAGAGCAAGCGACACTGCAAAATTTGGTTGATGGATGTTAATAGCAATGGCCTCCACCCCAATTGCAATGGCCTCCAACCTACTAGCGATGGCCTCCAACCTACAAGCGATGGCCTCCAGCCTCCAACCTACTAGCGCTCGGAGCAGCATCTGGTGATAATCAGACTGAACAAGGTCATCAAACACTTGATGCTCAACAACGAGCTCACAGCTCTCGATCTGGCAATGCGCATGGAAGCCGCAGTAGAGCCCACTGACCTAACCTCTACTCACTCTACTCCTGCCAGGCTTAGCGTTCTGCCTGGACCCATTTTCCTTGCGTCTCCATGTCTCCGAGAGTTTCCCGTTTCTCGCCCCGTTCGTCCAGAAGCTGAGCGAGAACCTGGCGAACCAATCGACTCAAGTGCTCCAGGCGCTGTTCGCCTGGCTGGGGGCTCCCAGTTTTCGCCCGTTTTGGGCTCGAACGCCACTGATGTGGTGTGAAGGTATGTGCACTGTGCACATGTGGATGTTGGTGGTGGGTCGTTGCGTGGAATGTTCAAACCACAGCAAGTTCTGGTATGACTATGACTAATTCAAAATATTTCAAACTTGCGTGGAGATTGTGCGCTTTTCGCCTCAGGCCTAAAGGTATTGATTTATATAATATATATATATATATATATCACCCCAGCATTTCTTTTCACAAAGTTACAGTCTTGTGAGCAGCTCAACTGAGGGTATACAACAGATGTAAACAACAGATTATAGCCAATCCAGCAGCCAACCGCCATTTGTCTAGGACCATTTAAGGTTTACGCCGTATATCAACCTTTTTCTCATCCACTGCTACTGCTAGTCATTAGTCGTTGAATGACTTGGATGCAGACTGCAGATTCATCAATCTACAGCGGCCAGATGCCCACATGCACCTGACATGCACATGGTCTCAGGGGTGGACCCAACAGGTCGAATTTTGTAGAGGCCAACATGGTCGCTGTAGAGCCTGAAAGAACCATGTGATGGATGAACATGTGAAGAACTGCCGTCCAGCCTTATGACATTTATCATCATTTATCTCTAGAAGTGTCCCAAGATTCGGCCGCTCTCAGTGGTCAGTCTTCGGATTCGTTCCCCCGTTCCGGTGCCGATCCGAACTGGGACAGCTCATTTGCTCCGCTCATTCAGGCTGTTGGTCGCATGCTCCCCAAGGGCTCCGGGTGCTGGCGCCACCGACGGAGGTAATGGAGATGAGTCTAGCAGGCCAGGCCCCAGAGCTTGAAGGCAATGGAGTCTGGAAGAAACCATACCGAGTCCGACTTGCTGTCCTGGGATGTCGTTGAAAAGTGTCACACTACAAGCACAGCAGCACTCCGCGCACGTCTTGCCTCCAAGGAAGAAGTCCTCCAGAACTCTTCCACAAACCCCGACGTATTCTGGACCCATTGACTACGACGATTTTCGAGCAGGGTGCGAGTTGTTCTCGGACTTGTGGGTGAAGGTCACACAAAATGCCGTTCCAAGGAAGTTGTTTGAGAGCGTGTGTGATGTGGTTTCCAAACGGCTAACTCTGTGGGAGAGATGGTCTGACCTTGTGTTTTGGTGGCCTGGGGTGATTGCTGGACTTAGTGCTTTGGATTCTTGGATGACCTTGGATGACATGCGACCATCTCCCACAAATGGAGCAGATGAGGATATGATATATGATACGATATGTGCAACAAAAATCCATCAGAGATCATGAAGCACTCAAAGCAACACTCCCTCCAGCGCAGCCTGGTCAAGTGTGCGCAGGTCTGGGGTTGCTGGGATCTACAAACAGAAAGGAGGCAAGGCGTTGGAGAATGGGGAAGGGCACTGGCGGCTGGAAATGGAACCCTGGAATGCCAATCTCTAGCCGCTAGCCCACTCACTTCTGTCGTTATGGCACCAAGCGGCTACCCCAGTGGCCAGACAATCTACACGAGGAAAAATTATGAGCCTTGGATTCCCGAGCCTGCCATTCCCTTGTGGCATGGATCTGTGGCTGGGTCGGACCAGGCGCCTACTCAGCGTACATTGCCTGGGAGAAGCTTAAGCTGCGCATCTTGGAAGAAATCCATGTGGTTCCTGAAGCCTTTTTTGAAGCCCTATGGCGTCTATCGCCATGGATGTCGTCATGGACGCCATGGCCATCCGTAGCAGTGGATTTTGATGAATGACGTGCACGTGCTGTGATGTTTTCTACTTCTTGCCTGGGGGGGCCACGTGCACTTCAATGGTTCTTTTCATATCTTTCATGTGGTAAGTGTTGACTCTTTTGACCCTCATCCGTTATCATTATTGTTTGAGCCCTATCACACTCAATATCTCCCATGTCATGGGAGTTAGGAAGGCTACCAACCGCTGGTTCCAGCGGTCATTCCTACAGGACTCCACACAGGGTCATGAGTCAGGACTCCTAAAACGGCCCACCTGGGCCGTTCCAAAGCTCAAAGGTGGTTGGAGTGCAACATGTCGACCTGCCGCAACATGTCGACCCTTCGCACGCTAGTTGCTGTGGCCACTGCGGCCTTCGCGGCTGGCCAGGCAGTCCATGTGCCTTTGACCAAGCGGGAGCTGACTTACCAGCA